CCTATCCTCCTATGTCAGCAGCAGTGCAACAGAAGTTCCATAAGACATTAATTTTACTCTTCAGTAATGGTTGCACCCTTGATAACTTCTGTCCTGTTTTAGGACAAATTTGGGAGAAAAACTGTGTGCTTCTTCCCCCCTTTTCACTCTCAGGACCATTCTTAATGGTGCAAAACATATCCCCATTCATCTGGTTAACCCAGAAATAAAAGCCTCAAAGTCACCCCAGGACAACTTCACTTGCTGGAATATCCTGATTTTGATCTAGTAATACCAAGACTCTTTTAGAACACAAGCATTTTGGTGCACTCCTTCCTCAAGCAGACACCTGAAACAAGAACTCTCTGCAGGCATGCACAAATTTCACTCAAGAGACACTATGATTTCAAATGTAAGCCATTTGATTTGATTGCCAAAAATCTCTGCTCATCCTGACTCATAGTTCACGTATGCAGTACTCGGATATCTAAAGGAGTCATTCAAGAAGAACACTGCTTTTTTTGGATTTTGGTGGGTCCTGCAGCACACAGTCTGTCTGACAGGGATTGATAGGCACAATTTAAATCACTTCACTGCTGCACTGATATGGGTGATGCGACATATCTGGGAAGTCTCTCCCAAGCACGTTAAGCTTATTTCTGTTTTAAAGTGACTTCATAAAAACTTTTATCCCAGAGTTTGATGCCAGGTTATGGCACATTAGTCAGAATGTTGAGTTCCTAGGTTTTCTCAAAGCACACGAGGTTTATAAGACTTCAGTGTTAAGCACAAACAATTTCTGCTTTTAAAACAAAATATGAGATGCTCCTTGGGTGAATCACCAAATCCACTTGCTCTCCAATTAAGGGAGCTCTCTCTTTCCCTAATAATTTGTTTTGCAAGTTACACAACATCTTTCTCCTAACCTGATTTCAAAGGCCACATCACACTCGGAAGGCAGCCCCTTTCAGAAGTGTGGTTTGTAGGAAGTGGAGAATCCTGCACTGAACAGCTCCCACACAGACCTGGAGGGAACCTGGGGGTAAAGCAGCGTGTGTCAGCATGGCCCTCACCACCACGTGCTTCTGCTAATCCTAAAGTGTCAGGAGATATTAACTGGAATTAAAACCACCACCAAAAACTACTGGCCACGTTAATTTCTAGTTAGGCAGTGCTCTAACACTCCCAGAGCATCCCAAATCCTGTTACAGCACCTCTCTTCAAGCACTGACTCACAGAACCACAGGTGTTGGAAAGGATCTCATTCTTTTCTCAGGGCAGCCCAAACTCCTGCCCAAAAAGCAGGGTCACCCACCAAATTCACATCAGCATTCTAAAGACTATCCAGGTTCAGAACTTCAAAACCTCCAAGAACAGTGATTTCAGTGTCTCTGACCAAAAAATCCTTTCAATCATCTTCCCCTTTTAGTCTCCTCTCCAGCTCCTTTTTATGACCTCTGTCTTCCTTTCTTCTGCCATGAACTTCTGTCAAAAAGTCTGACTTCAACTTCTCAACCAAAATGATGCTCAACCTTGGGAAGCTACGCCAGCTCCGTCACACCAGAGCTGGCACTCTCAAGCACTTCCCATTTCCTAGGTCCCTGACAGAATTATCTATTTCCCATGTGACTGAAGCGTGGAGGAGAGCAAAGAACATCTGAGTAAAGCATTAACCAACAGAGGAATCCCAGCAATCTCCCTGACAACCTTAATTTAGTCTGTTTGCCCTAGCAGAACAGGCAAGATTTAAAATAAGCAAATTAGCATGTTTGCAAACCCATGGAACTGCTCTCTGCCACCTCCTGCCAGCCTATTCTCAGGGCTGACGTGAGATCAGATGATTGTTTGCCAAAACAATCTAGATTTTTTTCTGCCCATTTCACTGTAAACAAGAGTGATGACAAAAATACCAGTCACTTATTCCAATCTCTAGTCCTTAAGCCATTAAAAAAAAAAGAGGAAAAAAAAAACCCCTAAAACCCCAACCCAGAGCTCCTCAGCTGCAGTTGAGTCCAGGTGCTCTTAATACTGATATCAAACTTCAGTTAAATACTCCAGTTCACACACTACTACTATAAAAGCTGGAACTAAATTCCCATTGTGCACCTCAGTAACATTCAACAAATTGTATGAAACCTGAACACATCTCCCAACCACCTAAAGCAGAAAATAAATGAATTAGTAGTTCTGATCCAGCCCATCATTAATTGTTTGTGTGTGTATATGGTCAATTGTCTTTCAGAGAAATACTTTAAAGCATTGTTTTCCTTCCCAGCACAGATTCTCTCTCAACAGCCCAGTCCTACTTCCTGTCCATCAGGAAAAAGTGCCACTGATCAAGCTGCAGCCCTTAAACCTCCCTCCAGACAAACCATTACACTTCTGCAGGCCAAGCAGCACTGCACACCTTTTAGTTTCAGATGAAGAGAACAGGGAAATCAAAAACTTCCACCTTTCTATTCTAGTTTCCCTTCCCTCGGGATAATGACTTCAGTTCCTAGCCCTCTGTCACCTAGAGCCATTTTTATCACATAAAAATCATTCCTCTGGACTTCTTCCCAAGGATTTGTCTAATTTCAGCTCCTGTGCCAGGAACCTAAAATACTTTCTCCTCTGTGTGTGGCTGCACACCCTCTCCCAGCAAAGCCTTGCTCAGCACTCCCCTGACGTGTGAAATGAGTTCTGGGAGGAGGCACAGTCCTGCCAGCACACTGAGCTCCCTGAATTACACCCAACACATGACAGGGAGTGCAGGTTGATTCATCTCTGTAACTCCAATGAAACCCGATGAATTGTAAGTTACAGAGATGAACCAAGGAAATCTCCACACCCAGCTGTGAGGAACTTGGTGTATGAGCTCAGTGACAAGTCAGCACAGCACAAACAGCTTCCCTGCCCCAAGTCCCAAACACACCTTTATCTTGCACAGAAGAGAGCAGCGATGAGGTGCAGCTAAGAGTGCTCTCCCAGTGCCTGAAGACACTGCCAGCTCCAGAAGCAATTCCTCACTCAAATTAAAGGCAGCAAAATGTCATAGGATTACTCTCCTGTATAATGGATGAAGCTTTTCCCTGATTACAGGCTTGTTCTTCCCTTACAAACCCGTGGTAGGAATGGATAAATCTGGCTGTCCAGTCACCTCAATTGAAAGCACACCTGAATCCCACCCTTCTTACTCCTTCAAAGTAAATCTCAGTTCATGTCAGGTTTATACACCATTTGTGCACATCATGTCCAGAGTGAAAAAAATCTGCTTTCCTATTCAACCCACTCACTCAATTATATCATCTAAGGCCATTCACTTACCCCACAGAGCAAAACTATCTTTCTGAAGGCTCTGATTTGAGCAACATATCCCTGCTCTGATCCAGGGTGCTGCTGGACTGCAATCATCCACCCCCTCAAGAAACAAAAGTATACTGCTGTGAATGAAATCAAATATTAACATAATGTTCTTTTTTCCCACTCAATGGAACAATGAAAGTTTATTCTAGTGATTTTAGAATAGCTGAATAGACCATGCAGTGGAAATAGTCATCCTGTTCAATCCAATTTTGAGCTCATTTCACTTTGATTTTTCAAATTATGTGTTTCTATCAGAACAGAGTTCTCTTCTGCTAGAGCAAAATTCAAATTTATGTTCACAGCTTCCAACAGAAGCACTTCCCCGAGTGATTTTTGAATCAGTTCCCTGCAGGAATCTCCAGGCAGCCTTCTTCAGTACTTTAGCAGGAAATAGTAGAGGTACTATAAACAGACCCAAAAGTATTGTTTATACAAAGTTTATCCTATGCAAGGAAACATGAGTTTGTTTCCAATAACACCCTGAAACAAAACAAGACACCACATCTGCTTATCTTTTGCCAAGATACACTTCGTCACTTTTAATACAAGCACAGTTCAAGTCATTCATGAAACTGTCATCCTCTGAAACAAGGATAACTTTCAGTAACTTTTCTATGCCTCAGTGTTATATATTCACCAACTTCCCCAAACGCTAACTTCATGCTCAGCACAAGGAAAACAAACAAAACAAGAGAAAGCCCCAAACAAACAACAAGAACCCAAACTGCAGTTGTCAGGCTAATTATCTGCAAGCTCGATACTCGCTAAAAGGAACACATGGTGGGAAAACTTCAATACTCAGTTTCACCTGCATCGGGGAAAGCCCTTGCAACAGGTTAAATAAAGTTTGCAACTTTAGTAATCTCTCCCAGGAGAAGACTCGGGGTGTTTTAAGTGCCTGCTACAGTGTTGCTCTTGGAAATACAACCCAGAACTGAGCTAAATTGGGTAGATTCAACACGTGCAACTAACAAATGTAAACAATAATGGTAAACACTTTCACATTAGCTGGTTTTGCTACTGCAGCATTTATGAACTGTGATACAACCCAGTGATGCTGCCTTGAACTCCGCCTGTATTTTCACTTATCAGGTCTGCCAGTACAAAAAAAAAAAAAAAAAAAAAAAATCAAAGAGCGTAGCCATAACGAACAAACTGCAGCCCTAAAAAGGATTTACTTTTAAAAACCATAAGGCACCACCCAGCTTCCTAAATAATTTTCCCATGAAGTGAGAGGTTGGCAAGCACGTGGCTGGCATCCTGACCAGCGGCGTTCTGGATTGTTCAGCCGGAGGCAGCCGCGCCCCGGCTGTGCGGCGGAGCGGGGCAGAGGTTGCGGGGCAGCGCTGGCGCTGGCGCTGTCGCTGTCCCTGTCCCTGTCGCTGGCGCTGTCGCTGGCGCTGGCGCTGTCGCTGGCGCTGTCGCTGGCGCTGGCGCTGTCGCTGGCGCTGGCGCTGTCGCTGTCGCTGTCGCCGCCCGAGCGGGGGAACCCCGCGAAGCCGCCGGGCCCGGGCACGGCAGCGCGGCCCGGCCCTCGGGGCGCTGCCTCGGCGGGAGCCCCGCAGCCCGCACGGAGCCTGCCCGCGCCCCTCGCTCCCCGCGGGGAGCGGCGCACCGCGCTCCCTCCGCCTCCGCCTCCTCCTCCCGCTGCCCGAGCCCGGCCGTCCGCCGCTCACCAGCTTGGGCTTGTTCCGGCTCTCCTCTTCCGCGGCGCGCCCGCCGCGCTTGGCGTTCATCCTGCCGGAGCTCAGCGGCTCCTCGCCGCCCGCGCCCGGAGCGCCGTGTCCGTCCATGGCTCGGCGGGGCTGTCCCCGGGCCGAACCGAGCCGAACCGAGCGCTCACGGCCGCACCGGCCCCATGGGCCGCCCCCCCTTCAGCGCCCGCGCCCGCTCCGCCCGGGGCGGCGCCGCTGCCCCGCCGCGCACGCGCACGGCCCGCCCGAGGCACCGCGCCTGCGCGGCGGCGCGCGCCTGCGCCCCGCGCGCGGCCGCAGCAAATGGCGGAGCGCTGAGGGGCGCTCCGGGCCGTGGGGCCGCGGGGCCGTGCAGAGCATCTCCTCCTCCTGCCGCCGGCCCAGGTGTCCGCAACCCCGGCTCTCCTCGCCTTGGGCGCGCCCGGGGATGCGGCGGCCTCAGCACAGCCTGCCCAGAGCAGCTGCGGCCGCCCCATCCTCACAGGCGAGGATTTCTACCTCATACCGACTGGAAACTGTGAAAAATGCGTGTTTTATGATTGGCTTTTCGCAAACGTTACAATGAGTATAATATGTGTAATGTTAGAAAGTTATGCTGTATTAATTCTCTTAGTTTTAGGTTTTAAAATAATGTTAAAATAGAGACTATGTATGTGGGGGGAGCTTTTTTTGTTTTTTTTAGGAATGAGTTACTCGCTTCGAAGAACACCTAAATCTTCCAGAGAAAAGGGATTTATGGTTTTCTTATCAGAAGAAGCTAATTTCTTCAGGCCTTGCTCAGACTCAAATTCGCCTTGGGGATTAAAGGAAACAGTTGACATACAACAGACAGAGTTCTTGTCTTAAATAGAATGTATGCATAACCATAAAGAATATATGAACATGCAACAGGCTATTGCTTTTAAGGTTATTCCTTTGTTCACAAGTTATGCTTTTCATGACTTAAGTGTCCGAGAGCATCTGGACGTCCATAATTCTTTACTTTTTATTGTCTTGTAATTGTCCTAACTCTAAACTTTATTACTCTAATTGTATTACTACTTTTATAACCATTTTATTATTATTAAACTTTTAAAATTTTAAAAACCAATTGATTGGCGTTTTTCACAGAAACCTTTGCTCTTCCAGCTTGTAGCCATTCCCCTGTGTTCTGTCTCTACGTGCTCTTGTAAATTGTCTTTGGTGAAGGTTCCCAGCAGTTCTGGAAGGCCACTTAGAGCACCCCAGTGCTGCTTCTCTGTTCTCCTGCTCAACAGTATCGGACTCATCTACCCATGGCTTGCAGCAATGAAAAATTGCTTAAACATTTCTGTGGATTCCAGAATCCCTTCGGCTGAGCCTCGCTGTGTGAACTGAAGGACCCTCAGGATGCTCTGTATGAGCATGGACAGAGGAAAATCATGGGTCACACGTCTGGTGATTAAAGGCATCGTGTTGACAGATGTCTTCAGCTCAGTTTTTTAAAGAAAAATACAACATTTTGTGTTAGTATACCTGAATTGATACCTGCTAAATTATGTTGAGAAAGCAGTTATGAACAACGTCATGATCTGTTGTTTTGGTGTGACAAGGGCAATGCATTCAGATATAAATTTATCCATTTATTGACCTCTAAGAGAGAGTCCCAAAAGGCAAACAAGACAGAATAGTGAATTTCTGATCTCTGTCTAATACATAGTGATGCAAAGCCTGAGATTCAGGGGGCTGTCTGCATATCTTGCGACTCTCTGAGATTTACCTGAGTACTGGAGGAAATACTTATAGTTTAAATCCAGCTATGCAAACCTGCTGGTAAAATCTGACAATACCAGCTTTGAAATAAATAACAGCTCTAAAACTGGCAGGTGTCTTGAAATCAAAGTAGAATATTGGCAGCAGAAGTTAGGAGGCTATAAAATAGACCAGCTCTGTCTAGATGCTCTGTTCTAAAATTTCCTTTGAGATTCATCTCTTCCTTCCTATATAAATCCTTTTTTCATTCTGATGATTTTAACAATAATTATTTGGACATAGTTTATGATACCATCTTATACCTAAGTTGAAATTATTAAATTAATCAAGTAATCATTAACTTAAACACTTATTTGCAATGGCAGGCAATGTAATGTTATTTCCATCTACATCCATTTATAGTTTACAGGATATCATTCTACAGAAACAGTTTAGCAGTGGTTAGTTAAAAAGAAATGCTCAAATCTGTTTTTTCCTTCTTTTCAATTAGCTCTAATTACCATTTTGGGTTTTCTCTGCTGTCTCTATTTTTGTGTATTAAGCAGCACCCATATCTGGGGCATGAAGTTCAGTCAGTCCACATTCAGAGAAAAATTTCCAACAGCCTGGCATCTGTGTGCACAAATTTAAGAGTTTTTAAACCAAATTCTGTAGCACTGTTTGTTCAGCATAACTCTTAAGGGCTCAAGAACTTTTTGTCCTTAGATTTTCTACATTTGCCACAATGCTCCTCATACTGCACTTGCCAACTGTTCTTCAGTAAAACCTTTACACTAACTGACCTCAAAGATTCAGGAGAGCTGGCACAACATGCCAAAAATAATTTGTGGTGTGAGTGAGAGCAAGTGGCACGTGTGGGAAATCGAGAGAACTGAGCAAATGTAGTCAGGCCTTGAGTTAATTTAGTTTTGATGGAATAAGACTCAGATCACATTCTTGACATGAGCAAAACATGAAAAAAAGCACTGAAGGCAGGTGTGGGGACGCCACACATCACTGCAAACATCACAGGGGATTTGCTGTTTCAGTGCTGGCACATTGTAATGAACGTACCCTTGTCTGAGTGATGGAGAAAAGATGTGCAAGCATCAGGCTGCAGCTGCATCATGTGCTGAAAAGTCAACCCACAGCTGCTTTTAGTTCTCCTTCCTGGGTTTGCCTGCTCTCCTGGGACAGATAGCTGCTTGCTTAACAGAGTTATTTCATTTTTTTAACTCTGATTTACAAATGCTTTGCAAGTCTCCATTTGGAGATTTCAGCTGTGGCTTAAAATTGTCTGTGTTGTACAAAACATTGCTCCAGGATTTGCTGGAGACCTGCTTTTGAAAAGCTTGCCATAGATCAAGTGTCATTAGATCCACTTCACAGCCTCCTCAGCAGAAGTTAAAGCCTCTTGGTTTGTTTTTGAAAATGTTTTTAGTCATACTGCTGCATTTTAGTGTTCTTCCCCCACCCCACTCCAGTTTCCAGGACTGAGAAGCAAATATTCCATGTATGAACTAAGGAACTTTATGACCATATGAACTCTGCAGGTACTTCCAAACAAAAGGAGTGAAGAGAAATAACGTAGCTGTCCCAATCAGGAGACATTTACAGGGAAAAGCCCCTCAACACCAAAACGAAACAAACAAAAAACCTTCCAGAAAACCACAACTCTGCCTAAGGCAGGCAGACAAACCTCATTTTGGCAGGCACTGCAATGCAGCATTTTGGCTCAACTCCGAGAGCAACAGTGTGGCCTGAGTGTGGAAACGAGTAGTTGTACAAACTGTTCTTAACTTGGCTTCATCTCTGAAGCGAATGGATTTCAGAACTATTTATTCCAAATATCATTTCACAACACTGCAAACGTGTAACTCCAAAAAGCTGCTGCTCTGTAGGTGCTGACATTTCTCCTTCTGTGTAATCTCAGTCCCATTCAGTCACACAAGCACAGCAGCTCACAGAGATCACACAATTACCTGACAGCAAAATGATCAGACACTGATAAGCATGAGGCATTCTGAGCATCCCCAAAACGTGCATCATTTTCTGTCTGAGCTGATGAAACCCGCCTTTGAGGATGGCTGGCTATCGTAAATGCAGGTGAACCCAATGGGAAGAAATGAGGATGTCTGACTCAATTCAGAAGGCTGAATGATTTCTTTATTATAACTGTGCTAAAATACATTAATATACTATATAAAAGGAGGATACTAAAACTACATAATACTTTCTCTGACTCTAACTCTCACCCAACTTGTGACCAGAGTCCAGCCTCAGGTGGGTTGGATTGGCCATCAGGCTCAAACAATCCTCACCAGAATCCAACCAAGCAATCACATGGGAAACACAAGGAGCAGAAATAGAAATTGTTTTCTGTTTCATTTCTCTGTGTGCACCTCTATGAAAATCCTGAGAGGGAGAGAAATGTGCTTGCCACAGCTGGCTAACCCAGCAATATCAGACCTTACAGCTCTTAACACTCTCCCTCTAAACAAACCAAAAGTTCAATCATGCAGGGTTGCAGAAGGCACTCATTCCAAGTACACCCTAAAAGGAAAACTATTCTGGATGTATGAGAATTCATAATTCAGTGGTAGAATTTCCATTTGCCAGGCAAGGCATAGGCTTCTGCTTGAAAAGTGTAGTTGACAAATCAGCAGAGCAGTGATTCAGTTTTCAGTCCCTGGGAAATGTTCTGTTCTCCAGAACATTTCTAGAACTGAAGAGGAAAGTTAACAGTGTTGGAGTCTTTGTCCTAACTGCACTGGAGGGAAAAAAAAACAAGAAAAAAGTAATTACTCTGTATGCTACCAGAAGAGAAAACACAGTATTTAACTTAGCCACAAACAGGAAATGTGTTGCTAAGTCACCCAGCAGTACATCCGCAGCTTTTCATGCAGAAATTCTGTGTCATTAGCACAACCACTGTACCACAGAGAACACACCACAGTCCTTCCCCTGCTCCTGGAAGCTTTTCTCTCTTCTTGATCCCTGTCATCACTGCAATGTTTACTCTCCTGTCTCTTCCTCCTTTTTGCAGTTTTAGTTGGAATCGATTTACCTCTAGGAATTTTTTTAAAATTCCTGAATTTATCTTCATATGGAAATCAGTCTAAGCTTGTTTACAGTGCATGAGAATGTGGTAAATAACAAGAAAAGCATGGGGTTGAATAGCTTATCTTAACAGGTGGGAAAATAGGATTAGAAGTATTAACTGCTAAGCAATTAAAATAAATGAAGAGCGTTAATTGCATATGAATAGATAGTCTCTATTGACAAAATTACTTCACTTTCTAAACAATGCTCTCTGAGACTAGTTAATAAATATTATTTATTTGCAAACTCAAATCCACAGAAAATCCAGTCACTGATAATTCAAAGGATTATTTGTTTGCTAAAACTTCATTTAATCTAAACCATAATTTCCTGGAGGCAATAATTGAACACTGCAGAATGTTTCTGTAAATGAAGCCACAGGAAGTTACTATCACACAT